TGCCCCTTCTCATTCTGCTCCAAGTCTCTCTGACCATCATTTCAAATCTGAACCCTTTGTAATCTTGTGAAACACAGAGCTATATATCCTATACCATTTCTCCCTCTGATTGTAAAGTTTCTGATGAATATGTGTTAGCTCGCATCCCCTAGCTTATAAAAATAATGAACTGCCTTGGAAATTAATGTGTTCCTTTTCACTTATGCAGAACTTTGTTGAGATGATTTGAACTTTGGCTAAGTAATTGCACATAAAGGGTCCCTTCCGAATTTGTTAGAACTAATAATGATATTCTTATAAGAAAAATCGCTTTTTTAATTGGCAGAACATTTGAAAGATTGCAAATTTTTTTCAGGCATATTTTCTCACTTGATCTCAGTTATCCTGTGAAACTGGTAGGGCAGATATTATGAACTCCAAGTTACAGGTGAGGTCACTGTTATAGGTCAAATAGATAAAAAGAAGTTAACTCATTTCCCTTTCCAGGGGGTGCCCTTTTCACTGTGCTCTGCTGCTTAAAAAAGAAATAAACCCTGCATTGAAAACAACTGATAACACACGACTTCAAGCTCTTTTCCTCCTCTGAGAGAAAAAGGGCATTAATTCTTCACTTTTGTCAACTTTTAGTGTAAAATTCCTAGAAAAAGGCAGTTCATACAGGCAGCACAAGTCATTTTAGAATCACAAACTCTTAGGGGCATACGGGAAGCTCCTCTTTTCCCTGCGCTCCAACAAATTCTATTTCTGGACAAATGCAAAACTTAGAGGTGATTTACACAGTAAGGAAAAGAATACTAATAAAGCAGACTGTGTATTTATGTTTTTAAATTATTATGCCATAAAGTCAGCTTGTATTTTTATACAAATACTCATACATGCCTACAAAACCATTTTTCAGTTATATTCCTATTTTCAAACAATTTAAACACCCTGTGTTCTTACAATTATCTTGATTAGATGGTGTATTTTATCTTAGCAGTGCAGTGGTATAAAAATCCCAGACCCAGACATTTTTTTTTATCATGTTACAAACTTGTTTTAAATTTGGTGTACACCTTTATAATACCAAGTGTTAGCACAGATTTTATCTCATAATGACAATTATAAAATAATCATAAAACCCCAAAGTTACCAATATTTGTTCAAAGTATCACGAGGGGGCTTCTGGAAACACAGTGCAAGTATGCCAGCACTGTGGAAGCCAATGGAAGCTGAAGTTATAAGGATTAAAAAAGAATTTGCCTATTTTAAATGGTCCTTTCCTAATAAGGACCTGCAATGTAATGTATTTGAATAACTGATGACAACTTGACTTTAAAAGCACAGATTATTCAAGTAGAAAGTAGAAGTCTGTCTTCATCCTAGAAGTTTAGAACTTTAAGAATTTGGGAAATTTTTAAAAAAGAGAACAAAGCTATGCATTTTCTTCTGAATGTGACTTTTTAAAATATGTTTTTTATTGATTTTAGAGCAAGAGGAAGGGAGATGGATAGAGAGAAACATCTACCAGAGAGGAACATCCATCAGCTGCCTCCTGCCCCCTACTGGGAATCTGACCGGAAACTGGGGCATGTGTACTGACCAGGAATTGAACTGGTGACCTGTTGGTTAATGGGTCGACACAAAACCACTGAGCCACAATGGCTGGGCTCTGAGTGTGATTTTTAATTTTCAAGGCTTTTCCTTTACAATGTAGAAAGTTGTTTTTTGTTGTTTTTTGTTTTAAATATATCTTTATTGATTTCAGAGAGAGGAAAGGAGGGGAAGGGAGAGAAACAGAAATATCAATGATGAGAGAGTCACTGATCGAGCCCACAACCAGGCATGTGCCCTGACCGGGAATCGAACCCCGATCGCCTGGATCCCGGGTTGACACTCAACCCGCTGAGCCACGCCCGGCAGGGCTACAATATAGAAAGTTTTAAAAAAATTCCCATTTTTCCCCCCATCTTCCTTAGAATGTGAACTAAAAGATCAAGACTTGCTATTGTATGTTCTTTTATCCCCAACTTGGATTTCAGTATTCTATAAATTATGAGCTCTTTTTTAAAAATGCCAACATCTAATGAGTAAAAATTCAACCTATTTTGCTCAATAGGATACGCATTTACTAAATCTCCATTCAGCACAAGACATTGCACCAACTGCTAAGGAGAGAGCGAGGGAGTATTGATGCTCCCTGAAATGAACAGAAGGTAGACTTGGCCCCAAGACCCCAAGACTCAGGGATAAATTCCTTCATAAAAGAAATGTTAAAGGCTTATTGAAAGATTTAAACAAAAATGTACATTCAGCTATGCGTATACCAGAGTGATAAATATTCACCTCTGTTGAGGTTTAAACAGCAAATTCCTCAACACGGACTTTCCAAATGTCCATTGACTTCATCCGAAAAGTATTGACTTCACACTTTCAAGTATTGAAAAACTGTCAAGCTCATGGCAGTGGATCCATGTTTTCTAAACTTATAATTCTCCCTTGAAAGCCCCCAAATCACCATTGACAGCAATAATTGTCCCTTGTTTTCCCAGAAGTGGCAGGTGCACGTTATTTTTGAAAAATGCCTGTCAAACACCTGTCTGGATAACCATAGCTTGTCCACCGTTCTTTCAAGTAAAAAGAATGTTCGATGAAAATAAAAGTAAAAACACTAGTTCAGCTTGCAATTCAAGCACGGAAGTGTTCTGCTGGAGATAAACAGGCGCTTCATGCTTTCCGCACACTTCCTGTTTTTTCACACAGAATCTGAAAAGTGTACCAAAGGGGTGAACTTTAATAAATTTAAGAATATTTACATATTATTAACTACAGTCCCTGCGCTGTACATTACATCCCCATGACTTATTTTTCCTGTTACCGCTATTACAGATGTTCCCCGCGTCTCCCCATTTGCGCCCCTCCCCGCAGCCCCCGCCAGGGCCTTCCCCTCGCCGCCGTCCGCGCCCAAGGGCTGTGCAGCGCGTCTGTAAGTCCCTTCCCTAATCTCCTCCAGCCCCCTCCCCCCGGGATCATTTTCACTTCTTCATCAGGACCTCTTTCAAGTGGCACTAGCTCTCACAGTTTGGTGCCCCCGCCTTGATTCACGATAAGAAGCCTACACTTTTACCCAGCCCTTTTGCACCGTCTGTGCACCCCGATTCTGGCGCCGCCGACCCCGCGAACGGGTCTCAGGAGCCTCCAGGGGCCTCCAGGGCCACACTTTGAGAACCACTGGGTCCCTGAGCTGACAGAAATCACAGCTCTTTCTCTTCGGTTATCTAATGCTGGAGGCTTATTTATTACTGCAGGTCTGATCACTGAGCGATAATCGAAAGACACGCCAAGGCACTGAACACCTCCAGCAGAGAGTCCACCGCCGCCGCTCCCGGGCTCGCTGGGAGGACAACAGCTCTTGGGGGGGCGGGGCGGGGGAGCGGAGCGCCCGCCCGGCTTGCAGTTGCCAGGGGCAACGATCCGCCGCGGGAGGGAACGCGGCCATCGATTAGTCGCGTCTGGGAGATGGCTGGAGGAAGGAGTCCCCGAGCGCGCGGTCGCCGCGGAGCTCGGTGGCGGGCAGCTCGCTCGTTCTGCGATCCACTAGAGTGGCTGCCGAGGG